CCTTCACCAAGCCGACTAAGATAAAGTGGGGCGGGGAACGAAGGATTCGAAGAAAATAAATCCAAAAACCCTAAGAATAAGAGCGCTGCTGCAGCAGAAGAAACTCAACAACCACAAGCGAGTTTGTCAAGTTCCCCGGTGGTTCCACAATCGACTTCAACACCTCACAGCAATACAACTGTCAAACCTAAACAAATATTACGTAACACATCTCCGGAAACCATTTTAGACACTTTCAACAGTAAAGATTTAACAGCGGATTGGAATCGAATGGCTGACCAATTGCTTGAAAGGGGAGTACAGCGAGCGGCGGCAGATATATTGATTTCAAAAGAGACCACGGGAGAAGATGAGGATTCTAATAATCAACCCGATTTTTCAGACGAATCAGAAGAGGGAGAAACGTCTGTGCGCAGAAGTGGGAGGACGAAAAAAGGACCCAGTAGATACGGCGACCCGATTAAACACTCTGTAAAGTCAGTATCATACCAAAATGACCTCTTAGATTTGAATCAGGCCGCTTTAGAGGCATACAGAGTTAAACTGGCAACTTTTAAACCCGATGCGACGAATTCGGTTGAAACAAAATTTGGTTTACCGGAGAAACATCTTTTTAGAAGAAAATTCGGCAGTGAGGCGCTTGATATTAATCGGTCCTTTAGCGCAGAGTGGCGGGTTCCACTACAATTCGAGGAAGAACGAGGAGAAAGAAGGGAAATGATGAAACCAATTCAATAGTAACAAATGCACAAGGGATAAAAACAAAAACTTATTAAACTGAGTATTAAAACTCCTATGTATTATTAAAATTTTTAAAGGTAGTATAAAATTTTCTTGGTCGATTGGGGTATGTGGTACCGCAACTGCTCCTGCATTTGCAGTAACGATATTATAGCCTTGGCCTCATTACTGATATTGTTCTCTATAAATTATATTATGTTATTATTTGATTCAAGGTCAATCATGTGTGACCTTTGTTGTTTAAGGAAGAGATTCAGTTCTCTCAATTGTAGCAACGGCGTACAGTTAGCCACCAATCTCAGGCTAATCATAAAAGACGGTTTCAATTTTAATTTAAAATCTTAGAAACGACTATTGTTTTTAACGTCAAAACACATGAGGTTCTGTCCGGTATCACACTGGGTATTACTATCACCGAACAAGGCATGTATCCAAGGAGAGAAAGATTGAAGCATCCTTATGACGTCTCTGATTACCAGATTACCGCGAACAATTTAAAAGATACACCGATTCATCGGTTTTTTTTTTCATTTTTACAAAAAAAAATTTCTTAGACTGGCCGAGAAACTCCTTCTTTCTAATCACTACTGAAATGGAATGAAAATGACATCCGAGACACGCTTATTGAAGCTATGGATTCCCTTCAGTTAGATTTACAAGTGATTCGTCATCTCAGCCTTCGATTAAACAAAAAAAGATCTTCAATATGTAGTTTTGGACGATGCATCCTTCTACGCAGCCGGATATGTAATATTGTTTGAAAACTACACGAAAACAGCCGAGAAAAGATCAAAACAGTACGAACCTTCAAATTTTGGATATCGGGTTTTCCAACCAGTCAACTTAAATCATCGATTTGTAGACAAAAATTTTTAACCGTACATTTCGCACTTAAACATTTTGCTTACGTAATTTGGGAGGGTAAAGAAACACTATTAATTCTGACCAAAAACAAAAGCCTCACTAATTTTTTTGAGAGCAAAACGTGTCCCCACGTCATTCTCGAACACAGTAGACTATGTCTTATCGTTCAACTTTGCTTTGGGGCAGATCCCATGCAGAGCAAATCTGACAGCTGATTTTTTTTCAAGACTCCCTATGGCAAAAGAATACAAAATTCAGCTTAGATTATTGGACATAACACCAGCAATGGAAGTAATTGTCGATCTCAAGGCTGATGACCCAGAGAGTTCTTTACAGGTGCTAGAACCACGCACATCAATCAGCACTGATTTTCCGTTAGATCAGAATACTTGTAAGTCTCTACCAATATCTGTTAGGCCATGTGATTCGACCAACATAATCTGTGCTCTGGCTCAAGTGAACCCGCTAGACCATATGAACTGGAAAGAAAAAAACAAACCCCTAAACATAGTGCATGAGCAGGTTCAAAACAAGACCAATAATTTTTTTATTAACTGGCTTACAAATGGAACTCCAATTAACTCTCTTCTTGCCGACCTTGAAAGCCGTAAAGATAGTCAGCAACTCTCTTCAGTTATTTCATGATATAACAATCTTAACAGAAAATTTTACGACCACACTGGAATTAATTTTTTTTTACAATTATTCATCCCAACACAAATTCGCAACGTACTACTCGTACATACCTAAAATCATACTGTCGGACAAAAGAACTTCTTTTACCTGAGAAGTTCTTTTGTCCGACTGTCGGACTTAAGTCATTTTGTCGGACTTAATGCAAAAGCCTACTCAACTTCTTCAAAATCAACTCAAATATGAAAGTTTAAAGTATGTACAGACAAACGGCTTCTTCGAGCGTCATAGCAAAAACACAGAACTAACTATGATCGAAAAAGCAAAGCGACACAGTTGGAGGTTCATAGCTATCGCCTAATTTTGATTCTAAGGTCACGAAAGATATTACAGAACTTTAAAAAAATAAAAACAAATGGTTATCGTTATACATTGTCGAATCGAAAATAACAAACAGTATTTATATCATCCGAAACGTTAACACGAATCTCACCCAGTGTGATCACATTTTGGATCACATTTTGGAAAAAAAATTGATTAGCCGATCTCTCTGAAAGAGATAGCACCAATTTTCAAACGATTTCTCAAGCGCAAAATGACCAAACAGAACCTGATCTTTTTGATAGCATCTTAGAAAACCTAACTGAAACCCAAAGGTGCCATACACATTTGACTCAAATAACTGCCTGAAGGGTCAGAATCAACGAACAGCAGAATTATGTGTTACATGAATACATTAAAGAGCGAAACAAGGATCGCCAGGTTCGAATTGATATAACAGATCTTGAAACCGGTTCTTTTATAACTGAATTTCAAACATACTTCTTCCCTGAGAAGCATCAGAAGAGTGCATTGAAGTTCTGAGATCAGTACAACCGAGCTGGTATAAAACTAACCACTTACCTCCTTATAACCTTCGAAGATGAGATCGTTTGAGATCGTTTGTCTCCAATTTTTCACGTTTGCTCCACTCATCCGTGTTTTGCATCTAAATTTACTTGAAAAAAATTGATCAGAAATTTTTCTTGAATATTTTTTCTCGTGATGTTTTTTCTTATTACGCGAAACTTTTTCTACCCTGTACACAGTTTTCGGTTTTGCATCGAAATCAATTGATCAGAATTTCACAAATTGAAACGTTTTCTCTGGTTTTTATCCTGTAAATAATTTTCAGTTTAATTATGATAGAGTGATCGCTTGCAAAAAATCCAATCCCTTGAAAGTAATACACCGAAATCTCTAAGAAAAGTTTAAAAAATATAGGTAAGCGATTCAGAACGATGTTGCAGTAAGTTTTTAAACAAGTTTTATGATTAATTTTTTGTAAAATCTCCCCCCGTTCATCGTTTTAAGAAACAAATTTAAAAAACGCTAAAAATGATTTTAAAAATATTCCAATTATGGCTGTTTAATCTTACAAAAATGAAGCGAGCATACTTCTTGGTAGAAATTATGAACTGAGCTTTTTAATAAACTGTCTTAGAAAACATAACTGAAACCTCAAGACCCGATAAATATCCGACCCAAATGAATTCGTTCAAGAACGAAACAACGATCGCCAAGTTCGAACAGATATAACAGATCACGAAACCAGTTCTTTCATAGATGAAGTTCAAATAAACTCTACTCCTGAGAAGCATCAGAAGAATGCATTGATGTTGCGAGAACCGAGCTGGTATGATTCTAACTGTTTACATTCTCATAACCTGCGAAGATGAAATCGTTTGAAAGATGTTCGCTTCCAGATTGATGACCCAGAGAAGACTTTACAGGTGCAACAACCACGAAGACAATTGGCCTCTTTGAGCGAAGCCATTCTT